AAGTGGTCAAGGGCCCCATTCTTTCATGATATTAATGGAGGAGGTGCAAGATCTGGGATGGCATACAGGTGCAGAAAGGAGCTTGTATAAAGGATTAGGGTACCCAGAAGGGTATGGGGAGAGAGTTAGAATGAAGGAGAGGGTTGTGACCTGGGGCAGGGGAGTAGGATCAAAAGCAGGTATAGGTGCTGGAGCGGCGTCTTACATTGAGAAGGGGTATAGGTGGTACAAGATCTGGGAAACGGTATGGGTGCAGGAGTTCAGAGGGTATGGATAATGTGGGGTACGGGGACAGAGGGTCAGGGTGAGCTGGGGTGCCAGAGGCAAGCTCTGGCTGGGTGGTGCTTACATGGGCAGCTCCAAACTAATAACCTCAGGGTTCCTGCCTAACATGCACCAGCATGTATTCAGAGCAGGGGCTGCTGTGAGCCTGGGGGTAGGTGCTGCTTGTCCTGCAGACCATTCAATGGGAGCTACAAGATTGTGCTTGCGGGAGAGGGAGACAGCTTGCGATGTCGCTTCCCTCCCCCAAGGCCTCCAGGGTTCACAGAAATACATGGTCTTACAGCTGACTTTTCTGAGTACTGCGTGGGGGGCGGGGCAAGGAGGGAGCCTGATTGAGGCTCCTGCAGGCCGGATCATACAGCTTGTGTGCCGGCTGCAGTCCATGGGTATGCTGACCATATGTCCCATAAAATCCGGGACAGTCGCAACTTTTACTCGCTTGTCCCTATGCCCCCGTAAACACTGAAAATGTCCCAGAAAAAGCTGTGCAGCCTGAAGCGGCTGTGCGCTGCTGTTTCCCCTCCCCCTGCCCGGGAACACGGGGACTTCCTAGACATTTTTTCCACTGCTCTGGAAGCAGCCAATAAGAGCAGCAGGAGGCAGTGCCTGACCCTGGCCAGGCAGGTAGTCTGGGAGCACCACGAGCAGCAAGTGAGTGCCTCCCAGACCCCTCCAGAGCAGCCCCTGTCCACAGCAAGCTGGCCTCCCCCTGAGCGAGGCTGCTCTGGACACTGGCACAGTCCCTGCCTGTAGGGCCTCTGGCCCTCTGTGGGGGTGGAGCAGTCCCCTGCCCACAGCAAGTGGGAAGCTGCTCCAGCCCACTCTGTTAATTGGAACTGGTAAGCATAATCTGTTAGGACTAAGGCAGTTGTCCCACGAAGTTGTGGGATCGTTCTGTATGATTCCCAGGCCATGAGTCAAATGGGGGTGAATCTGTTTTGCAAAATAATAGATAGAAAATATAATAATAATAGAGATCGTGGATCTCATCTTGAATTGAGGTTGGATCCCTAGTGCTGCAGTGTCCTGAGACCCTAGGTTTGGGGTCCAGGATTAATGCAATTGCAGTATAATTGCATGGGAGACTCCTATAGTTCCCAAACCCATCCCTATTGGTAGAGGACAGTGGGAGGAATTTTTAGAAGGGTCACGAGACACCTTTTAGTTCCAGTCATGTGTGCATCTTGACCCCAGAAGTACTACCCCCAGGGGAGGGGCTTCTTGTGGTAGGTGGGTAGGGCCTCAAGGATTGGGGGGTGGTTAAGTTGTCCCTATTTTTGGCTCAGAAAATATGGTCATATTTTGCCCAACCCTTCTGTAGATACTGGTTTTGCAGCAGAAAGAGAATTCTGATTATTTCATTAGACAAGAGCAAACCTAGACATTGTGAATCTGATCTGATCCTTTTTAAAGTCAGTTTTACCGTTGCTACAATAGAAGCAGGATATCAGGCTTAGAACAAATGGGAAAATGTCTTTCTGTATTTCAAGTAAGGTACCACCACCTGGCCTGCCAGGGGTCTATAGCTGGGGCTGCTCTAGCCCACCGCGGTTGTCCTCCAGTGGAGTTCACCGCTGGTAAGAGCCAGTTAATCGGTAAGCGTAAGCTCCTGCTTACCGCTATACCATTTAATATTTCAGGTGATTGGACTCTTACTATTCTTTAATGAATGTAAAATCAGCTATGGCACCTGCTTGAAAGCAAGGTAATAAGTCCTAGAAAAAGCAGCACCTTACAACAGGAAGAATTTTTAAGTAAAACAGAAACAGTAAAAACAGTTGCTGTAAAATGAAATAGCTGTATTTCTACACACCATATCTTTCTATTGAAAGAAGAACTGGTAAATATCATGTACATCAAAATGCCACTGACTTCTCCTCCCCTATGTTAACCACTGTATTTTTGCTTAGCTATTTTTTTTAAAGTGTCAAAGTTTCAGAATACATTTCATATGTAAATCTTTTCATAGCAATGGAATGGCTCAGAAGACAGTCCTATACGCTTGGTCATAAAGGTCAGTGATTACAACTTTGAATGAGTTTTAGAGCAATACTATTAGGATAACAATCCTTAGCATATTTAAGATGTGTAAAATAAGTTTGTAGACAGAGTTCTCAATGAATATCATTCCTTCACTAAAGTTGCTTTATCTAATTGTGCAGTGCTTCTGACTAAACCCTTTAGTATAAGGGCAGGCCAATTATTGAAAGGACTTTCACCCTATAACACAGCGTCCAAACAAACTGCCCTGGAACACCTTGCAGGTTTTTTGGGCTCTCCATGAGGTAAATAAGATGCAAATACCTAAAGCAAGGTATTACAACTAATGGCTAAGCATGGTCTACTCTACACATAAAACGTAGGTGTGCCTGGCTATGTCAGTGGGGCTGCTGGAGGCATGAGTGAAAAAATTCACACTCTTGAGAGCCAGAGTTAAATTGACCTGAACGCTCGTGTAGATATCAATAGGTCAATTAAATAATCCTTTGGTCAAAATCTTAGAAGGGAGAATTTAACTACACTGAAGGAAAAAGCCCTCTTGTGTTGCTATAATATCTGTAATATGGACGGCTTAAGTTTGGAAGAGAAAAATATAGTATTGATGTGTATGAGACAAGTGGTGTGTAAAGAACATGAACTTCATCAGCAATAGGAATGGATGCTGGAGTTCATCATGGCGAGAGTGTCTTGCCAGTCTAGACGTAGCCTGTAAGAATAAGTATTATTTTTATCTTTATTCACCCCATACTTGTGACTAATTACTGATAGTCTAGTTATCAAGTTGAAAAAGTCTCCCACTTCCTGTGTACCAAATGCCCTCTTGTTGCCATCTTCTGAAAACTCACTCTATGAAAAACCTACCTTTTTGAGGCTGTCAGCACCTTCCCATATATATGTCTGTTGGGCCACATCTCCACTTGCTGCGCCAGAGATCGATCTTCTGGTATTCAATTTAGCGCAGGGCTACTCAACTTTGGAAGCCCAGGGGGCCACAATGATACTCACACAGCACATGCCAAAGGCCGCAACTTAAATGTGGTTGCATATACATGCAAATAGCTTCTTTCACACTGATGGGCATGAATACAAAGATTAAGGCAAGACTACACAACACATTGGCCCCATTTAAGTCAGTTCTGCTGATATTAATAAAATGCAATATTACCTGATTTCCACCCATGTGATAGCACTTTTAATAAGCAATGACAATCCAGGAATTTAACTACTAACATGCATATCAGCAGAAGACCATTATATTCACTCACTGTTATGGAGCATTTTTCCAGTGGAAGCCATGTTCAAAGGATCCCACCCGCAGGCCAGGTTTTGAGCCCCGCTTAACCTAAGCTGCACCGTGGACCGCAAACTAACAGGCTGCATGTTCAGTAGCCCTGATTTAGCAGGTCTAGTAAGGACCCAATAAATTGAATGCTGAGGGTGAACTCAGTTAGTAGTGGTACTTCTTGATTTTTGAGGAATATGGGAAGACCACAGAAGCATTTGCTCCCATCAGCCTCCCACAATGAAGACAGCTCCAAGCTCTGCTTAAGTTATGTCGAATCCAGCTACATTATTTACGTAGCTGGAGTTGTGTACATCAAACCAACCTTTGGGTCTAGTATATAGATCTGGCCTTAGACTAAATGCCAGAACAGGGGCTTTGGTTTTTTATGTGCATTTAGATATAGAATTGCAACTTAGTACAGCAGAGAGTTGAAAGAACGAAATGATGGGATGGTTTAACAGACTTTTACAACCAGATAGTGAAAGCTCAGAGGTTTACTTAAGTAACTTGTGTAAAGTTGTGTCTTTCAGCACCTGGGCTATCTTTCACCTACCTCAATGGCTTCCATTACAAACACTTAAAGAGAATTCAGAACTGATATGTACATTTCTTTGCTGTTCTGTTTTTTTTTCTTCCTTGATACATGAGTTATCCTCATTCCTCCCAGTTCCCTTTATCTTGAAACAGTGTGGCTGACAGGGACAATGGTTATGGGTGTTGGCTCTCACTTCAAATCCCACTGCAGATTCCTTTAAGCTGACCCCTTCAGAGAATCTTGGGCAAAGTAAGCATCCAGTTTAAATTCCTTGTGAAAGCTTCAGATCCCCTATGTGAAAAACCTTGTTAAACAGTAAACCTAAATTATTTTATAGGTCAAAGTACTCAAGTACAAAGGGAATGTGCAAAAAGGACAATTTAACACCTCATTGGAGTCTGCCATTTGACTCCTGAACATGATCTCAGCTTTTCATGTGTCTCTTTGCTGTGTTTTATTACTTTAGAATGAGGTAGTCTTTGCAAGACAATCAGTCCTTTCACACAGACAGCCTTAAGTCATGTCTCCTTTATTGATATAGAAGATAAAAAGGAGCAAAATAAATTCAAAAGCATCATACAAAGGTGAGTATAAAAATAGGGTGATTTTCTCAATAAAGTTTTAGTTAGCATATATGGTTTAGTAAGGATGGTAAAATGCCAATAATTTTTAGAAAGGAGGTGGGGGAACCTCCGAGAAATGTTGCTTCTTTGTGCCACTCAGTTTCTAACTCTTTTCAGTTTATACTTTTACCTATTCTTATTTGTTCTTTTTCAGCAGAGGGACTGATGAGCCTTCTGCTCTCAGGTTAAAACCGATGCGAGGGAAAGGAAGTCAGAGTAGAAGCCGCCCTGAGATGACCTCTATAACAACAGCTGTGGGGGAGAGTTTGCAGCTGCAGGTAAGTCAAAAGTGCTTGCTTTTAATTTTTTTAAACGATTTTATACTTGTTCACATTTCCATGATAATCACACATTATTAATGTCAATGAGAAATAAATTCCTGTTAATAAGTAGCCTAACATTTTGAAAGACAATAATTGAAACCTACATAATTTCTACTGCACTTTGTTTGACACAGAGGTTACCTATAAAACTGCTTCACAATAGAGGCTCATGTTGCAAACTCCTGTCTTTAGGTCCTTCCCCTTAAATCTCTTTGTAAAAGCAAGTATTGGGGAACAATAGACTGTTGTCCCAGTTCATTCACAACAAAAATCGCAGTGGAGACACCAGCAATGCCAGTTTTCATGTCTGGTCTCAATACTTAATTTAAACTGCGAAGTTTTCACGTTTTAAAAATCAATGCAAAACAATAAGAAACATCTTTATAGTATACAGTGACAACTTATAAAACATTTAGAATTTGTTGGCAATTATGATCACAATAAAGCCTGTTCTGTTACAGCAACTGATTTATACTTTTACAAAACGAGAGATCATTTTCTAGGCAGTGTTGACATCTAATCTACCTTTGTGTGGATTAAACAATACAGCATGAAAACATCAATTTAAAGGATATGTGGTTATTTTGTTTACGCTTTCTTCTGTTAAATACAATAGCTTACTATCATGGGCCTCAGCCTTCAGCACAGTTACCATACTCCTTTTAAGTTCCAAGTACAGAGACATTTGTTCACAATTGTCATCTCTGGGTAAGTTTTAGCACATTGTCACAATCCATATTCAGTTTGGACTTAACCATGTTGAAAATAAAAGCACAAATGGTTTTCCTATCTATGCTGCTCTCCACTATACAGTAACTTGACTGCAGCGGTTTCACTTAGGAAATAACAAATGGAGTGTTTTCTAACAGCCTTTCTTTCACATCCAGGGCTCCCATCCTTCCCAAACTCTGCCAAGGAGATTGGGGTCGGTAGCTTGATCTAGAAGGCATTTCACTTGGATTTCTTCCGAAAGTCCATCCTCTGGTTCTTTGGCTCGGATGTTGTGATCTCTGCTTCCTCGAGCGACAGCTACATATTCCTTGTAGGCTGGTGATTTCTCATGGCCCAATCGAAGTTCATCACTGAAAAAAGAAACAAACTCTGACAATCCAGTCCTTTGATTTTTTAATGAGAACTTTAAGGCCTAAATCCTATGACGTAATGAGTATTCTTGACTCAATAGGTATTTAGTATGCTCAGCAAGTCAACATCAGCTCCTTAACCGAGTGATTTCATGTTCTCTCATTGGTGAACATTTACTATGATCATCTTCATCTTAATGTCAAGTCTGCATCTGGGAGCCAGCTTCTTATACTGAGTCCACAGATTTGTATTAATGGGGCTTGCACTAGTGTGCTAAAATAGATGAGTAGACAGTGTTTTGAGAATGCAAATTTGACTCCTAAAACCATTTGTACCCCAGATTCTAAGCGGCAATGTTAAAGCACTGTCAACACAGCTACCTTAGAAGCCACAAGTTTCTGGGCTTAGTTTCAGAGGCTCATTCCCAGACACAGTTCAGCTATACCCAGAATTATTATAAGCCTCTCAACCAAACTGCTATTTGTATTGTACTGTTTCTTCCCTCCCTCACCTGGCCTGTGCTCGTCTGAAAAAAAGGCATCCAGTTACTTTATGCAAAGACTGCCTCAGCAATGGAGGCCAGAGCAGAAATCAGCTCATTCTGTCACACTCAGCAATCTAAAGAAAATCAAACCTTCAGCTGCCACAGTTCTCTCAGGTGATACCAACTGCACTTTCCTAATCAGCCATTTTTTAAACAAGCTTTTCATTCATTGCACCAATTCAAAATGATCTTTAAATAGAAGGGCTCAATTGAATTTTAAACATTAAAATATTGTTATTTCAAGTTTCAACCAATCCTAATTCAGCTGATTACATCTCAGGAGGCTATTGTTAAATTTCTAGGCAATTTAACTAATTCTTTGAAAACTAGCTATAGGTTGAACCTCTAGCCTGGTACCCTTGGGACCTGACACTTCCACTGTTTATTGGGCTTTCAGAAGACAGTGGGGGTAAATTAGAGCTAAACAACACACAGAACAGAGCCAGTACTGGTGGCACGAAATAAACTTTATAGGATCATGGGCAACATGGCCATACCCTTGATAAGTGGACATCTGGCTAACTAAAATCATGCCAGATCACGGATGTTGCTGGACCAGCATGTGCTGAACCTAGAGAGGTTCAACTTGTAGTTTACTTGTATGTCTCCCATACAAGACCTCTGTTTGTATACAGTCCATTCAAATTCAACCACTACCTCCAAAGCTTTATGAAGGGGTGAACGGGGAGATTTTGGCAAATGCAGTAATGTGCCTGAACCACTATTGCTTACTGTTTGAACTTTAGCAACCAAGCTAACAGGCCCAAAATAGGCCTACACAGCATGACCAAGTCAGGGAGGGGGAAGAAGGGGAGTTTGGGTGCCACAGAGAGGGCAGCTTGACCCCGCATCCTTCCTGAGGCCCAAATCTCTAGTGAAATTGCTGAAAACAGGAAGTTTGTCTAAATGCCCCAAGACATATATCTGTCAGGGCCCCCGAGTCTCTGAAAAAGAAAAAATGCATCTGGTGAAAGTGATGATCAGAAGAAAACCTCTTGCCTAACCTTTAAAAACTGCTTGTGTGACAGGTTTTTGAGTGACATGTTATTGTAATACTAATGGATAAATAGGGAAGGAAAGTTTGAGTTGGGGGGGGACAATTTTGGGAACATTTGAAGGGACGCCTTGAGGACTCTTTACATCTGGACGCATCTTCATCCCCACCGACAGACGGAAGACTGGCCATGGGAAGCCTGCTTGGTGTCATTCGAGCAGGCTCACTCAACTTCAGTAATTATTGAGGGTGGAGGTGTTCTACTAACCAGTTGCGGATGTGTGTAAGTGCTTGAGACTAAGTAAAGTTTAGCTTTAAATGAAAGCACTCTTGTGTTATCCTGTTTGTACCATCCATCTATCAGTCAGACGACTGTGTCTCCCCTGAATTATTTCCTGATACCACCTCGCAGAGAGTAAAAGTTACCGAGAGGTTTGGGTTGAAAGAACCCCAGGTAACAGGGGAACAGCTTGTGAGGGATAGGAAATAATCAGGATTACATGGTGTGGCCACACATGCTGCAACTATCCTAAATGCTCAAGAGTACAGAAGAAAACTGATCTGGAACAAGGGCACTCTAGAGATACAGGGTAGCTTGTGTAGCAACACGATTCAAACAAATTTTGAACACAAAAACTGCCAAGCAGTGACATGATTAAACTTCTCCCCCTGTCTTCCATTTCTGTCATTAAGTCTGAAGGGAACAAGTCCCTGACTCTTTCAATTGCAATGGTTCATATTAAAGGACTTGAAAATCCAAGAGAGTGACTGTCTTACCATGTGAGTACTGCTGGATTGGAACCTGCCAACTTTCTTTTGGCACAGTTCACTTTCTGCAAGGGATACCAGTTTATTTCAGCTGTGTTTACCTCCTTAGACCATGTGCCCCCTTTTTTCAACTGCTTCAATTCAAAATTCTAATGAAAGAAAAATATATTTCTTCAGTTATCATAAATTGAACAGATAAACTGCTAAACCTCTCCTACATTCTCACAGCCACTAAGGATGTGAACTAATAACTGGTTACCTGGTGAGCATTCCCCTTGCAGGTAATAGTTAACCAGTTCCCTGGGGAGCAGCCCCCACCCATGGCCTGCCACAGAGGGAAGGCTGCTCCAGCCTAGAGTCAATGGAGTGGATGAACAGTGCTAATCTGAACATAGGAAAACACATTTTCTTAAGATCTGCTTGAGTGAAATCTCATAATTTTGCTGCCTCTCAAACTAAGCAGATTCTGTAAATTTACAGGTAATCTGAAAATATTTATACTCAAATTTTTATTTCAGAAACACATTTAAGAAGTATTTTCATAAACAGCACTTTGTATGAAATGCCTGGCATCATGTACATGAAACTAAGCCGTTGCTCTGTTTGTCAAATTGAAAATACTGTGTTTATACTACATTGTGGTGATTCATGCTTGCACCCTAATAATTTGAAGATCTCAAGATCACTCATTCAACACAGGAATGAAACTAAATAACAAATTATAAGTGGATAAAAGTTATCATTCTATCCAGTCCATCTTCATCAGGCATTCTTAAAACTATAAAAGATATTGATAAAATATATTGATGTATTATGTGACATGTTTCAAGAACTTGGCTCCTGCCAGTTTCTGTAAAAGATTATTTCCCAGCTCAATAAAGCTGCTGATAAATATAAAAGGAAAATGTAAAGTATCAGGAAAGATTTAATTATTCTTTTATGAAAAATGATCAAGTAACAAAGAGAAAACTAATCAACTTTAGGCTTTGTACATGAATAGAAAGGCAAAAAGAAAGAACAAGAAAAAAATCTACCTGCCAGTCTAAGGAGGGTTCTTTTACAAACACATCCATAGTGCTGATCAGGAGGTCTGGGTCTGTGCGGTAAGCTCTTAGGGAATGTACCATCACACTATAGATGAGACCAGATTCTTTCAGAGGCAACATCAGATTAATGAACTGGCGAGTTAGACGAAAAGGCATCAACTCTGGCACTTGCAGAAACTACACAAGAACGAGGAGAAAGTGAAACCCATGAATTAAGAAACCTTCAGACTGAAGGATTACAAAGAAAAGTCTTTGGTCTGAGCCTTAAAACACTGTTTGCTACTGAATTGAATCATCAGCTCCCATCTCCTAGTACTCCTTCCTCTATTGATGACGTCATCATATGGACCCACTGGAAGGAGATCCTTGAAGACTTCCATAGAGATTTCAACAATTTCCACCCCACTATCAAACCTGGCCTGGACCTGTCAACACAAGAGAGCCACTTCCTTGTGTACAGTACAAATAAATAATGGCCACATAAACCACTCTGTACTAGAAACCTACTGGCTGCTATTCTTACCTATATGCCTCTAGCTTCCATTCAGAGCATATCACATGATCCATTGTCTACAGACAAGCCTTAAGATACAACTGTATTTGCTCCACAGACTCCATCTGCTCCACAGACAGAAACAAACACCGACAAGATCTTTATCAGGCATTTTTAAAACTTAAATACCCACCTAGAGAAGTGAGAAAACAGATTGACAGAGCCTGAGAAGTATCCAGAAGTTAACTACTTCAAGACAAGCCCAACAAGGAAAACAACAGAACACCACTGGTCATTCACCAACAGCTCTAGCACATCACTGACAATCTACAACCTATTCTGGAAAATGATCCCTTACTCTCACAGGCTTTGGGAGACAGGCCAGTCCTCGGCTACAGACAACCCCCTAGCCTTAAGCAAATCTTTTCCAGCACGCATGCATGACACCTCAGACACACTCACTTAGGAATCTACCCCCATAGCAAACCCCATTGCCAACCCCTGTGACATTCACACACATTTACCTTTCCCCACCTCTAATACCATTAGCTCATAGACATTTACCCCCCCCCCCCCCCTTCTGTTCTGAAATTTGATTTGTCCTTTTCATATGTGTTCTCTTTTTTTAAATTGTATCCTTTGGTATATATGGTTGTGACTATTTTCTTCCACTATTTGATCTGAGGAAGTGGGTCTGGCCCATGAAAGCTCATCACCTAATAAACCATCTTGTTAGTCTTTAAAGTGCTACATAGTCCTGTATTTTGTTTCAGCTACACCAGACTAACACAGCTACATTTCTATCACTATACTTCAGTCTGACACTGTTACCCTGGGCTTGAATGAAGTTATTAACTGGTTGACACATTAGAAAGCCAATCTCCCCCCTGCTTGAACATTCAAATTTTCACATCAAAAACTATAAATGGAACATATTCCACCCATTTAAGTAGCCTCATTAACACGGGTCCTACAATTGACAGGTCCTTCTTTTGCTGTTATATATTTCTTGGTTTCCATTATTTACATCTCATCTCATCTCATGAAGTAGGTTTTACCCACTAAAGCTCGTGTGTCTATATATTTTTATTAGTCTCTTAGGTGCCACAGGACTACTCATTGTTTTTACTGAATTGTAAGCAATATGGAGCCCACTGAAACCATAGTGCTCTTGGGTTAAAAATATGACTATAAATATTTGTCAATAATTTGTGTTTGAACGCATGGGTGAGGAAGGCCTCATTTTCAAAAAGCATCAAATCCTGATATCAATATTACAAAATACTTTACTGCTCACATACTGTTGTAGATTTTATCAAACTGTTAGTTTGTCTGATATTATCTGGAAAAAGATTCTGTTCTAATGATAACAGGAATCATTTATTTAGCTTATGAGGTATAGCATGAGAAATCATCAAATTTCAGCACAAAATAATTTTAATTCAATACAAAATTTAAATAACTGATTGACAACCAATCACTTAAGATACTGCTAGCCCCCAACACACCCAATAATGTAGTCAACAGAAAAGGATTAGAGGAAAAATACCTGTGTTGCTGAACCAAATGCATGTCCAAAATCTATTCCCACCATGCCACCTGTTTCCATATTAATCATAAAATTGGACAGATGTCTGTCTCCAATACCAAGAATCCAATGGCTAATACACATCAGTGCATGAGAGCTGGCAAAATGGGATCGCAAAGACAGAAAGGCCTCAGGAGCTGTACTCATCTTAACAAATGCTCTCCTTAACAAAAACAAGAGAATCAAATCTTGTGAAACAAACACTGATACAGCTGTTGTAAACAACACACACAGTAACTGACCATATGCTTACCTTAAAAGGTCTCCTGGAACACAGTTTTCCCTGTTTCTGAAAGACATGACTGTTTCTGTACGATTAGCTCTACTGCAAGTCAACAACAGAATGCACTAGTTATTACAACTGCCCAATTAGAAGATAGAATAATTAAAGAGTGCCATGGAGCATTCCATAGGCTTTATGAAAATACACTTATAAATAAGACACAACTGGAATAAGCTTTATGTGAAATATTTCATGTGAGATATCACTGGAAAGTTTTTAACTGAATATGATTATCCCATTTGTATACATATATCTAAAGTTAGAAATATGAATTATAAACCTGTATTACTAAATGTAGACATGCTAAGTGAGGACCATTAATAATACTCAAGGAACTTAATGGCCCAATACTCAGAACAATGATCTGTGAATAGACTTATTTTTCATGGAAGCGTGGGAAGAGGGGCTATGATTGTTCCTACCAAGACACATGGCCACATCACCTGATGCTGGGACCCATCTATTTCCACACAAAATGAGAAAAAAAAAGTAAACTGAATACAAAAGGATTCCCATTTTATGCCTATTTAAGTATAGGGTGTGAGGTAACTGGGATTGTCAGTTCTTCTCTGGAAAACACCCAAGATAACTACTGGAAACAGCTAAGGATGAACAGGAGAAAGGCCTTGACCCAGACTGGAAAGACATCCAGTCTGTGCAGAAATTATTAGAACAATATATAAGATGAAAATTTATAATTTGTAACCAGTTTTAGTGAATCTAGATTAGTTTGTGTGTTCTATTTTATTTTACTTAGTAATCTGCTTTATTCTGTCTGATCTCTCTTACGCTCACTTAGCCAAAAGTGATTTTACTAATTATAAATCCTACCTATTATTAATAAATCCAGCATAATCTGTGTTCTCATATCAAAGCACTATTATTTTGTCTAACTCTGAAATTGTACCAATCACAAGGAGCATTTCCTCATATAAAGAGGAGAAAAGATGACAAAATATTGACTGATCATAGAAAGACAGGTCTTTTCTATTTTCCAGGCAGCCATTTCCAGAGTGAAATCTCTTGCTTTACCAATTCAATAGTGAAAACAATGGATAAAATAAAATAGATGGGACAAGCTTCAGAGTTAATGCAGAAATACAATCAGAAACTTAAAAATCCAATTGGATAATCTCCTCTGTCGGTCTCTTTAGTGTCTCTGCAATTTAAATCCCTCAGCAAGCATACAGAAAATGGATAAAAATATAAATTAAAAAGCAATAGCTGAAGGGAATTATTCAAGCAGCATATCAATTTCAATAGTTTATAACAAGTAATTCAGAACCTACCTTTCATCACCTATAAAGGTCAGTATTAAAGCTAGGGATATCACTGTGTAGTCGACTTCGTGATTAACCAATAAACCTGGCCTTATAGGTTAATACTATTGACTACACACACACAAACCACCCTTGCTGCCTCTGTATCAGGGTGGCATGGACTCCCCGAGTGTGGGGTTGGGAGCACACTGGTGATCCAGAGAACAGTCTATTTCATCTTGTGTAGGATTTTGAAAGTTTAGATTACAAACTGGAGCTTTAAACCAATTCCAACATTTGGAACTTCTCTGTGAAACAGATACTATTCTCCATCCATTTGCACTGAAACTTTGCTTCAGGCTAGCTGGCAGAATGTGTGGGAGTTGGGGATTCTCAGCTTCCAGGCTCTCTGCTCCCGGTCAGCCTACTAGATGGGCTGTTAAGAAGGTAGATGGAAAAGTTGGCAGGAAACAAGGCAGGGTCTTGTTGCAACTGTAGCTGGTTTCTGACAGAATTTCATCAAAATCGACAGTTTCCCTGGAACATTTTGGTTTAAGTGATTTAGCAAATTCTGTAAAAAATTATTTGTCTATGTTTCTTACCAACTGTTCCTGAAAATTACATAACTGTGAAACTTACTTGTACATAGTCTTATAGCGTGCAACGCCTTGCTCCTTTCCTGCCATCTTGGACAGCCAGTCACTGTACATGGTACGAGGTCCTTTTAGACTGTGGACAAATTTAAAAAGTGGTGATTTATCTATGATGCTTCTGTATGTGCAAAAAGCAAAAGGTAATAAAACAATAAACCAGATTGAAATGTAAATATTATGCAATCAAGTTCATACAAATTAAATACTAGAGACTGGCCTTCAACAACCACAGGACTCTTTGACTCAGTGCTTTTTGCTGAACTGTTTTTCTTGTAGGACAGGAAGGGACTTGAGGAGTAAGTGAGAGAGCGCATGAACTGATCCTAAATCAGAAATGGAAAGAAGTATCTTGCAAATTTAGTAACTCATGCAAAATGTATTTGACCATCCTTTACAAATGCTAACTGGTGATAGAGAAAAAAACAAAATTATATTTTATTCACTTGCAACAAATGGAATTTTACCAAGCTGTTCTAAACATGGATCATACAGTATCTGAATCTGCACTACAGTAAAGAAAAAGGAAACAATGGAAAGATTCAAATTTGCGTACTCTCTCATATGCATAAAATAGCTATCTACAACCTGCAGCTGTGCTGCTATGTGCTTGTCACAGATTGTAACAAGGTAAGTAGCATCAGGACAAGTCAACATCTGAATAGGAGACCTTTAGATGGCTACTTAATTGCTGTAGGAAATTGTGCCATAGTTCAGTGGATGGCATTGTCTCAGTACTATGAGAAAGATGAGAATAGATTCAAAGGCCTATGATGGGGCTTCCTATCTGACCTTGGGCAAGTTAAGTCACTTCTGTGCATCAATTTTCCAAATCTATAAAAAATGAGGTTAAGAGTAAATACTTTCCTATATCAGACATAAAGAGGTGTTTAGATGCCTAATTTAATGTTTGTAAGGGCCTGTAGATCCTCAGATGGTTATGAAGTGCAATTACAACCGTTACTGAATCAACTACCCACACTGGCCCCTTAGGGCCATTGTATGCAATTGAAGGTTCTGTCTTTACATACACAGTATCTAAAGCTGAAGTCCTGACCACCTGTGGTTTACTGCAGGTCCCATCATCCTGTTTCATAAGGGAGAAAAGTACTACTTAACTGCTCTGACAAATTTCCTACTCATATTAAGTACATTTTGCCTGCTTAAATTACTCCTACAGTTTCATTTTTTTCTTCCTGCAGTATCAAGTGATTTGTGCTGTTAAACATATATATCCATATGCTTCCTTTCCTAGCATTTGAAAGATATTCTGAGGTTACATTCATTAATTATTTTTTTTATTCTCAAACAGAATCTTCAATCAAGTATATATGTCCAGGCTGATCTCAACAAAATCTTTAGTTCTCTTACTGTGTTTCTTTGCCTTTCTATATATTTCTCTCTCACCCTCCTTCATTTTAAAGTAAAGTAATTAAGAGATGGAATTGGAAATATGTCTATCAGAACTAGTTTAATAAACAGTAAAGGAAGTACTTTGAAAGGCTCATGAATGAAGAGATTCCAAGTGAATCAAGTAGTATATAAAACCAATCCATGGCATAGAGGCAAAAGTCCTAAAAGCTGTTGCACAAGCATTGAGGAACATGAAAAAGAAAACTCTCAATCCCAACAGCATATCAGCAGAAGTATGGAAGCACCTGGGGCAAACAGGCATATTGACACAACTGTTTAATTTTATCACGAGGAATGAGATGCTGTCTGGGTCTGGAGAAAATGCATATTAGTACCAGCATCTAAGAAAAAAGGAGACATACAAGAGCTAGGTAACTAACACAGAATTAAACCCATGATGCCCACAATGAAGATATAGGGAAAAGTAAGAAGAGACTATAGAGAAATACAATTCAGCGACAATCAGATTGGAATCATGCCAGGCAAGTCAGCAATGGAGGTTACCTTTGCATTAATACTCCCTGTGGAACAATATACTATAGAGCAAAGAGGAAAACCCTCCACATGGTATTCATTGACCTTGAGAAGGCTATGATCAGGGGGGGTCAGCAAAAGCCTCTCAGCAAGCTGGATCCGGCCCCCTAGGGCTTTGATCCAGCCCATTAGGCAGTTCCAGGCCCCATTCCCATGGGCATTGCCTGGGAGTCAGAGACATGCGAGCCCTTTAAATAGAAGCAGTTAAAAGGGCTCATGTCTTCCCTGCACTTTGCCTAGCAGCTGCAGGGAAGGCACAACTCCTATAAATAGAAGCAACTGAAAGGGCTCCTGTGTCTCTGCTTCCCTAGCAATGAGCTAGTGGCACTGAAGCTACGAGCCCTTTTAACTGCTTATATTTAAAGGGCTCGTGCCTTCCCCACACCTGTCAGGCAACATGTTACCTGGCCACCGCAGGGAACACGAGAGCCCTTTAAATAGAAGTAGTTAAAAGGGCTCATAGCGCATTGCTAGGGAGCCAGAGATGCGCAACCCTTTCAAATGCCTCTACTTAAAGGGCTTGTGCTTGCTGGGTGGCTGCGTTGCCTGGCAGTCACCCGGCAGGTGCAAGTACTTTAAACAGAAGTAATTGAAAGGGCTCACAGTTCTCGGTTCTACTGACCCACTGCCTGGGAAGCGTGAGCCCTTTCAACTGCTTCTATTCAAAGGTTTTGTGCCTGCCGGATGGCTGCCAGGCAACAGGTTAGCAGTGGGGTCAGGAGCTGCCAGTCATGTTATGTGAATTCTAACCTGAACCCCAGACAACTCCGGGAGGAGGCTAGCCCCCAGCACCCTCCCATCTGCTCCAGGTTCCTTTCTGTGGCTAGAAGTCAGGGGACAGGGACCCCAGGCCAAGCAAAGCTCCCAGTAGAGTAGCTCTCAATGTGCCCCCCCCCTTCAACCTGAGGCTCTGCCCCTTCTACCCAAGACCTGTGGCCACTTCTGAAATTTGTGAAGTGGCCCCTCTTCAAAAAGTATTGCCCACCCCTGCTTAAGACCATGTTCTGAAAGCAGTCATCTCTCATATAGATCTGTCTGAGAATGAAACAGATAACTGAAGGCTGCATCAGACTTGTCAGGCACAAGTGTCCTGTTACCAGTTAGAAAGCTCTTTGAAGAAACTTAACAGATTTTAGTAAGAGTTGGGGTACATCAAGGCTTAGCATTACCGTTGGTGCTTGATAGACAAACTACATTCAAAGAGTGTCATCCTGAGTGCATCTTTTGTACAGATGATGTAGTGCTTGTGGGAGAGTGCAAGAAGATTTAGAGAGTGGGAACTGTGTATACTTAAAGAAATGGCATAAAAATAAGCATAAATGAGACTTGTAGATTTGATGTGTATTTGCAGAAGGTAATAAGACTAAATCTGGGGGACCAACCACTACCAAAGTTATAGAAGTTCAAGTACTTAAATTCAGTAATGCAGGCTGAAGATAAATTCAATCACAAACTTTATAAACAACATAGGAAAGGGATAGACTAAATGGAAAGAAGTGAGCAGAGTGGTCTATAATAGGAGAATACCGATTAAATTGAAAAATAATTTAAGATTTGTAAGATGGCAATTAGGGCTGCACTTTTGAATAGCTCCAAACACGGGGCATTGAAGCAACAGAAGCAGATCTGGAATACAGTGGAAATGAAAACATTAAGATGAATGTTTGAAGGATGGATCATGTTTGGATGAATAAAGTAGGGGAAGAATAAAGGGTAGTACCAATTATAGAAAACCTTAGGGAATCAAAGCCTGCATAGTTTGTGTGTGTGAAAAGTTGATCAAACTGGGTACTAAATTTAGAAGTGAAGGGTTGGAATATGCCATACAAGAGGATCTGATTAGCTGTGGAGTTTCCAAAGAACTGTTTCCAGATAGACTGGAATGGGAAAACTGGATCGCACATAAATGGGACTAAAATAGAAAAAAAATTAAGATGCAAAGACAAGACATTCCAAATCCTCATATAATTATTTCCCCCCCTTTCCTTAAACTGAAGGTTAGCCAGTGGGAATTCTCATCAGTATTTCCTTTGGCAATACTGCTGTTCATCTCACCCAAGCGTAGAAATAATTAATAAACTGTGTTTACAATAATAAAATAGGCTTATGTTTTAAATTATAAAACAGTTTTCACAAAGATGCTAACATACATTTCTAAGTACTTGCACCCTACAACAGCGTTTCCCAAACTATGGGCCGTGGCAAAAAAATACCGGGCTTCAGCGTGGCTACCAGGGTATTCTGGGCTCCTGGAATATCCGTGTGGCACTGGGTCCCCCAAGCCTTCGGCCGGGCTGGGCGGAGTCTGCAGCCGGATGTTCCTGGCTCCCGGCAGAGGCGTAGCTAAGGTTACCAGGTGAGTTTAAAAAAAATGCGGGACACACTTGATCTCAGATGCAGGGGGGGTGGTTGGGAGGGGAGTGGGGCAGGACTGGAGGAAGGGAGGGGGGGAAAACCAGCCACCGGGAAG